TGACCCACTGCCTTGCTGACGTGGGAATACAAGATACTCCCTTGTAATGGCTTATCTCTTTTCTCCAAGGTCAGGGACAAAGAGTGGCACTTGGGGAGAGGGTTTCACCATCTTACCAACTGGCATGTGGCATCCCCCAGGGAGTGATTCTCTCTCCTATGTTATTTAACATCTACATGTGCCCTCTCACCCAGCTGGTCTGGAGGTCTGGGCTGGGTTGTCACCAGTACGCTGATGACACCCAGCTATATCTGTTGATGGACGGCCACTCAGATACCACCTCAGAGGTTCTGGCTAGGGCACTGGAGGCCGTGGCTGATTGGCTGAATCAAGTCAACTGAAATTAAATCCATCTAAGACAGAGGTCCTGTGCCTGAGCCGCGGGGGGATGGAACTGGGTATCCGACTCCCCACCCTTGACTGGGTGCTGTTAGCCCAAGTGTCGATGGTGAGGAGTCTGGGTGTGACCATGGATGCCTCACTTTCAATGGAGGCCCAGGTCACGACCATTGCCGGATCAGCCTTTCACCATTTTCGGCAGGTCAGGCAATCGGCCCCCTATCTCTCCCCCCGTGACTTACCCACAGTGATCCATGGAATAGTCACCCCTGGGCTGGACTACTGTAACTTGCTCTACGCAGGGCTATCCCAGAGACTCCAGCTGGTTCAAAATACAGCTGCACATGTCCTTACTGGGATCTCAGGATGAGCACATTCACAGCCTGTGCTCTGTCAGCTGCATTGGCTTCCAGTTGAGTACCAGGTCAAGTTCAAGGTTCTGGTATTAACCTTAAAGCCCTGTGCGGTCTGGGGCCATCATATCTGCAGAAATGTCTCTCCCGCTACGTCGCCTGAAGAGCTCTGCGTTCTTCAGATCAACATCTACTGGTGATCCCCGGTCCAAGGGATGTCTGCTTATCCTCAACCAGAGCCAGAGCCTTTTGGAGTCTGGCTCCGGCCTGGTGGAACAGTCTCCCAATTGAGATCAGGGCCCTACAAGATTTAGTCTTTCCACAGGGCATGTGAAGCAGAACTGTTCCACCAGACATTTGGTTGAGGTATTAGATCACATCCCTACCTATTCTATTCACCTGTGCTACTCACAGGTACTTTTATGTATTGAGAGGTGGGAATTTTTGCCACTTGCTAAAAATCAGTATATATACCAGGGTCAAAACTTTCTGAGAACACTTTTACTGTATTATCGCCATCTCATGATTTATGTATGGATTTCAGTTTTAATCTTTTATTATATCGTTTTAATGTTTTAAATTATCATATTTAAGTGTCGTGAGCCGCTGGAGCCTGCCTGTGGGGTAGGGCGGGATACGAAATAAATGAATAAATGTGTTACTGCACCAAGGCAGGGTCAGCCTTGACAGCCAGTCCTGAGGAAACTTTTATTCTCTCGTCCACAGTTCTGCTCAACAGCCCTGACCTGTGGAGGCTTCAGGGCCCACTCAGACCATGGGAAGATGGTGACTGTCAGGTTATCTCCCTCACTGAGCCTTAAATCCAATATCCTCCTCCTCCTCTTCTTCTTCTTCCTTTCCTTTGTTCTTTCCTGCCCCATCATACTTTTCTCCTCGCCTCACTTTGCCTGCCTGTTTCCACTTCCAGGTAGGCTGAATGAAGCTAAAGGCCGCTGCTGAGGACACGCGGGGATGCCAACTCGAAATGTGAGCTTTGTACACTTTCTTCTCAAAGCAACCAAAACCTTAACTTTGGTATCCCCAGACCAACCAAAAAAGTTAATATCAGAGAAACAACCAATCCAAGACCTCCCATATAGCAGCAAAGTCCAGAGATTACCATACTTAACAATCCAATAAACATGCCTTGCAAGGAGGGTCTCACCCCAGAGGCACACTATTTATTCTTCATGGCAATCCTGTAAAGTTTGTTTTGACTGGCCAAGATCCTCCCAGCTGTATGCCAACACGATCAACATGATCGAGGTTTATAAGATTATGCATGGGAAAGAACAGATAGAGAAAGAGATACTTTTCTCCCACTCTCACAATACAAGAACTCGTGGGCACTTCATGAAATTGCTGAGCGGTCGGGTTAGAACGGATAAAAGGAAGTACTTCTTCACCCAAAGAGTGATTAACACTTGGAATTCACTGCCACAGGAAGCGGTGGTGGCTACAAGCATGGACGGCTTCAAAAGGGAATTAGATAGGCATATGGAGCAGAGGTCCATCGGTGGATATTAGCCACAAGGCATAGATAGGGGGTCTGGGGCAAGGGATGGTCTGTCTTCTTGTTGCTTGGGGGGGGGGTCAACAGTGGGAGGGCTTCTAATGTCCTGGCCCCACTGCTGGACCTCCTGATGGCACCTGGTATTTCTGGCCACTGTGTGACACAGAGTGTTGGACGGGATGGGCCTTTGGCCTGATCCAACATTGGCGTCTCTTATGTTCTTAACACTCTGGGCTCTTGAACACATGGGGATTAGAAAACGTGGAAGGTGCTTGGCTCAAGCAAGAGGATTTCCCCCCTAAAATCTTACAGACAGTGTTTAAAAAGACATTAGACCCTTACAATGGATTATAATTTTATTTATTTATTCTTCAAATTTCTATCCCGCCCTCCCAGACAACATTTCCTAGTCACCAGCCGGTAAAAAAAACCCAAACAAAACACAGAGAAGTTTATTTCTCCCTCCTGGCACTGTGAGAATCAAGGGGGATTCTTATTTCAAAACATTCATTTCCAAACTCCAAGGATACCAACCCAGTTCTAGGATGCTGGATATTGTTTGGGGACACTCTGAATTTACTGAGTTTTCCTTTGAATCTGAATTAATCTCACTGGTGAAACCTTGAAAACCTCACAGCAGCCTAAGCCCTCGACACCTAGGGAATCACAGAAGGGCCTCCTCAGAATAAATCATAGGAAAGTTTCACCCTTGTGTGGATTATCTAAGGAACATGAAGGTCTGATCTCTTCCTCACACCATTGCCACACATTCAAGCCTGAGGTTTCTCCCCTGTATGGATTCCCCAATGTTTACAGAGGACAGATCTGGTCCTCAATCTCCTTTCACCCTCAGACCACATTTTTGCTTTCTTCCCTTTGAAATCTATGAGCATTTATACTAGGAGTGGTGTTAGCCAGCAATGAGCTTTTTTGCTCTCTTCTGAACTAAGAACTGTGCACCGAGGTGTAAAAGAACTATGATGCCAGGGAACCAGAGTGAGATGCCAGACACACGAACCAGCAGATGCCTGAGATGATGGGCCCATGGTTCCAAGAGGTTGCCCTGTTCCAAAGACTTTCCTATACACACCACAAGCACTACACAAGTAGCCAGCTTGCCATGGCTGGTTAAACAATGGAGTCACAACGCCATTAAATGACTCTGTTTTAGAAAGCTGACATGTTTCCTCCCCCCTCCCAACATCTTTGTTGCTGCAAAGCAAACACAAAGCAACATCTTCCACAATCCCTTAACAAAAGGATTGGCTCGCCTGTCCACCTGGAAGAAACCGGTTCCTGCAGCCTCCAGGCAAAGAGGACAATCAATGCTAAACGATGACTCAATGTCCCATCCAAGTGTCTCTGTTACCAGATTAATTAACGTTCAATATTGCCCAACCTAGTCCCCCTTCCTCCACTGTATACATGACTTCTTGGAACAGACCACAGAGGGACTGTCTCAAGGGAGGTGTCCAGCAAAGACCTCCCCCCTATGTCACCTCAAGGGAAGGGACATGCTAAGCCCTCCTCCTAAGGTCACCTTATAAAAGGTGACACGCGGAAACGCACACTCTCTCTGCCCCCCTCAATGACCTCTATACTCTCTGCCTCTTGAACTTGTGGCTACCTTGCTATTCAGCTTACCTCAAGACTCTTGGACTGCGCAGCCAGTCTCTCTCTGCTGGTTCAGTCTGCACGCTCCCCTTTTTCTAGCATAATCCCCATTTTTCTAGTTTCCCCCTAATTTTCCATTTGGAAGACTTCATCTCTTCAGGATCAGGTAAAGTATCGCCAAACCAACGAATCTCTTGCTAATGCGAATGTGCTATCTCAATCTCTCTAACTTTCCTAGCTCTGTATAATTGTGTGTGTGTTCGGGAATTGTTTGAATGTGCTGAAAACTACAGTAAAAGACATTCATTTTAACTGCAGCCTGCGTGTCTGTTACTGGTACTCTGGAGAAGTGGGACCTCTGTATATAAAGGTGATTGCTCCCTTATGCCAATTGCTACTTATAAATAACTCATATTCTCCAATAAATGAGAAGAAATCAGAGCAATTTGGCTAATAGTGGCCTAACTGCGGCTCCAGAGCCGCATGTGGCTCTTTCACACATATTGTGTGGCTCCCAGCAGGGCAGCTGGGGAAGCAAAGGGGAGGCATGCCTCCCCAATTGGTTTTCCCTTCCCCAGCCAGTGTTCCCCTCCCTGGGTAGGCTTGAACAGAGAAACATTGAATGAGTTCTCAAAGACACCCCCACTTTTCTTTCTCTTCTTCTGTCTTTCTCCTTTCCTCTCTCTCTCTCTTCCTTCCATCCCCCTCCCCATCTATTTCCTTTCTTTGTTTCTCTTGCTCTCTTTCTTTCCACCTCTTTCATTCTTTCTTTCCATCACCCCCCTTAGAAAAATATCATTAGCAAACAAATAAATATCATTGGACAAATAAACATCAGTATCAATATCTGTTTTCACCCCTTTTGGTTTTGTTTGGCAGTTTCATTTAATGTTAATAAAAAGCCAATTTGTATATTTTTCATGTGGGTAAAATGTGTGTGTCATATTTGTTCATGTCTTGTGGCTCTCAAAACATCTGACATTTATTCAATCTGGCTCTTATGTTAAGCAAGTTTGGCAGCCCCTGATTTATACCGTTTCTTCCCCAGTTCAATTTTTTTTGTTCATTTCTAAGGCTACAGGAAGATTTCTTTCTGAGAGTTTTTATGGTTTTTGTGTGGACTATACAGTTGCAGTTAATGTATGAAATATGAAAGGAGCTCTTGTCAGAGGTCTAGCAGCGATGCTGTTCCTCCTCATGTGGGTTCTTTGATGCCGTCGACGGTCACTGCTCCACTGAAAGCTCTTTCCACATTTTGAGCACTCAAAAGGTTTCTTGCCTGTGTGGGTTCTTCGATGCCGCTGAAGGGCACTATTCCACTTGAAGCTGTTTCCACACTCTGAGCACTCAAAAGGTCTCTCAACCATGTGGGTTCTTAGATGTTTCTGAAGATGGCCACTCTGACTGAATTTCTTTCCACATCGTGAGCATTCAAAAGGTTTCTCTCCTGTGTGGATCCTTTGATGACGGTGAAGATTGGAATTGTGACTGAAGTTCTTTCCACACTGAACGCATTTATATGCCTTCTTTCTATTATGTTTTAGGAAATGTGCATTATTCTTATTTTCATCAGAGAAACTCTTTCCACTCCCTGAGCAGATCAGTGGCTTCTCATCTGAATGAATTCTTTGGTGCTGAATGAGGTTTGCTTTATGTGAGAAGCTCTTGCCACAGGGTGAGCAGATATACGCTTTCCCTGCTGTGTGGATTCTTTGATGCCTCAAAAGCTCTGATCTGCGATTGAAGCTCTTTCCACACTCCAAGCATTTAG